GCATGACATGATAAAATAGATTATTAACATGGATATTGAACTTGTGGCAGGCATCATCAAGGGCACCATGACCACCACTCACTCATACACCGGTGATCAGAGACTACTTGATGCAAGTCACCGTGATCTCAGACGTGCAAGAGCTGCAGCGCTTAATATTGTTCCAACGTCAACCGGCGCAGCAAAGGCAGTGGCCCTCGTCCTTCCTACCCTCAAGGGCAAACTCAATGGAATTGCCCTCCGAGTTCCAACCCCAAATGTCTCGGTGGTCGACCTTGTTGTCCAGGTCTCCAAGAAGACCTTCGCAGAAGAGGTGAATGCAGCTTTCAGAGAGAGCGCTGAGAAGGAGCTCAACGGTATCCTATCAGTTTGTGACGAACCACTTGTTTCAGTGGACTTCAGGTGCAGCGATGTGTCGTCAACAGTAGATTCATCACTAACAATGGTGATGGGAGATGACATGGTTAAGGTGATTGCTTGGTATGATAATGAGTGGGGTTACTCTCAAAGGGTTGTGGATTTGGCTGACATTGTTGCCAATAACTGGAAGTAGATGTCTCTCTACTCACGCAATGTAATTTCTGATTTTTGTGGAACGATTTTCTTCAACTTCTATGAAAATTTGCCGTTGCACCGCAAGCACACCAATTTTCAAGCCCTTCGATGATATTCTATATATATATATATATATATATATATATATATATATATATTCTACAGCTATATTTAATTGCATCCGATGTGTTCTTCCTGGTTTTAGTGATGAAAATATTATAGAAAGATGGATTAGAGACATAAATTTTCTCAAGGATGTACTGGATGAGATTAAATACATATGAAGATAAATTGAACATAACCCCTTTGATATAAGGATATTGTAGAGTAATTCCACCAAAATAATAAGGTATTATATATTTTTTTATAGAAATTAAAATATAGATACTGTTCGACATAAAATATTAAATGGAATAACACTTTATAATAAACTTTTTTATTATTGCACCAACTCGTTGTTTAAATAATATATCTTTTAGTATACCTTTTACTCACTATAACGAAGAATTTTTCGAAATAAATTTTGTAGCTTTTATTTTCTGGCTTTTAAATGATTTGTAAAATGAATTTTAAGATTTTACCATACATTGTTTTCTATTTTTGTAGAAAATGGTTTAAAAAACTATTTGATTTTATGTTTTGAAAGTATTTTTTAAATAAAAAATATTTTATTTATTTATTTTAAATTATTTTTTAGCATGTTTTTAAATTTTTTTAATATGTTATTATTAAAAATAAATTTTAAAAAATAATAGGTGCTGGGAGAGCCAAAACCCAAACGGGCTTTAAGCAGGCTAGGTTTTGAACCTGAAATGTGGATTTAGGTGTAAAGTGTGGGCCTATTGCCTTGCTTTACCCGAAATTCAAAAACCATAGATAGCAGAAAAACACGCTGAAGCTGTATAGCCCAGACGAAAGAAAGCGAGGCTAAGGCTAACCTCCCAGAACCATGGCAGCTGCTGCTGCTGCAAGGACCTTGATTTCCTCCTCTCACAGCAAACTGTTCTTCTTTCCTTTTTCAAATTGCAGCAAAAGACTACACAGACCCATCATCAATAAGAATCCTATCTTCGTCCCTCTGAGGTGCTTGCAATCAGCCCAGCAAAATGCCTCCACAACCCATGACCCAATGCGCAGCCGTTCCAGCGTGGTCGATATCCTTGAAGAAAGAGGCTTGCTTGAATCCATCACCAGTGACAATCTCAGGTCTATCTCTACTACAAGCACTCTCAAGGCTTACTGTGGTTTTGACCCGACTGCCGAGAGCTTGCACTTAGGTAACCTTCTGGGCATAATTGTTCTCTCCTGGTTCCAAAGGTGCGGCCATAAAGCTGTCGCCTTGATTGGCGGCGCCACCGCCAGAATTGGAGACCCATCTGGGAAAAGCCTGGAAAGGCCAGAGCTTGATGCTGATACTTTAGAGAATAACACACAAGGGATTACCAATGTTATTACAAGAATCTTGCATATGAATAGCAGCAGTAATGGTGATGGTGATGGCAATCATTTGAATTCAAGTTCTTTCTTTGTAGTTATGAATAATTATGATTGGTGGAAAGAGGTTAGGTTGCTTGATTTTTTGAAACAAGTAGGGAGATTTGCAAGGGTGGGGACTATGATGGGCAAAGAAAGTGTAAAGAAGAGGCTTGAATCAGAGCAAGGAATGAGCTATACTGAATTCACTTACCAGCTTTTGCAGGGTTACGATTTCTTATATCTTTATCAAAATGAGGGTGTTAATGTTCAGATTGGAGGGAGCGATCAGTGGGGCAATATAACTGCTGGTACTGAACTTATTAGAAAGATTCTTCAGCCAGAAGGGGATGTGGCTTTTGGCTTGACATTCCCTCTTCTATTGAAGAGTGATGGCACTAAATTTGGGAAATCAGAGGATGGTGCCATTTGGCTTTCACCGTCCTTGTTATCTCCTTACAAGTTCTACCAGTATTTTTTTTCGGTCCCGGATGCTGATGTTATTAGGTTTTTAAAGATACTTACCTTCTTGGACATAGAGGAGATTGATGAGTTGGAGAAGGAAATGAATAGACCTGGCTATATCCCCAACACTGCTCAGCGGAGGCTGGCTGAACAGGTCACTCTTTTTGTTCATGGTGAGGATGGACTTAATGAGGCTCTCAAGGCAACTGAGGCTTTGAGACCTGGAGCTGAGACCAAGTTGGATTGGAAGACCTTTGAGGGCATTGCTGAAGATGTGCCTTCCTGTTCTTTGGCCTCTGACCAGGTTCTCAATATCTCTCTTATCGATCTTTCTGTTTCTTCCGGTCTGCTTGATAGTAAATCAGCTGCTCGCCGTCTGTTGAAGCAAGGAGGGCTTTACTTGAACAACAGCAGAGTTGATAGCGAAACTAAGAGAATTGAACCTCAAGACATTGTGGATGGAAAAGTTCTCCTTTTATCTGCTGGCAAGAAGAACAAAGTCATTGTACGAATAACTTGACTACTCTTGTTGTTGCATAGTTGATTGTTTGCTTTAAATTGCTGTTCCATCTTTTGAGTTTCGCTGCAGCCTTCCCAAGCAATGAATTTCATGGGATAGAAAGACACTAAGGGTATTTAAAAACAGTATTTCAAAAATTTTGCACTTATTTATCACGTGTTAAACTATGATCTTGATCAAGTTAGATGTATCACCTAAAAATCAGTATTCTCTGTAACACAGTTCCTGTCACCCACTTGTTTTCTCATATTCATAACTCTTAAGCTTGTAACTGCAGACAGTAAGAAAATTACTTTATTTTAATTCGTGTGTTTTTGGGTTTAGATTAGATGCTAGAGATGTCACTGGTTGATTGGTGCATATATTTTTGTGGATAAATAAGATAGTAGAAAGCCTATTTCATGGGCGTTGGAAGATTACAAGAATGGAAGTGACATTTCTGTACACATTTTACCTTTCTGGCTTTCCTTAATTTTCAAGAGAAAAGGAACGATCACCATCCTCTGCTGAGTTGGTTTCTGGCAGTGTACATTAGTTATCCTCCCCTTTCTGGTGCTTGATTTCAATTGAGTGATGGGAGTAGGATGAATTGAGGATGGAAAGAGGTGGTAGTATAACAGCACACTTGGCCTCTCCAGATGTACCTGCAGTAGGATGTTTAAGGACAGTAAGTATGATAAGGAGCTGTCCTGAATTAGAGCAGTGTCGATGATTGATTTTTCTATATCCCACATTATTATTTTGTTCCAATCTCATGCTTTTAGGTTTTATCCGGGCACTTTCTGATCCAGTAAGCAAGGTGAAATTTCATTGTCTGCATTTCACATGGAATTTTTCTTCTTTTTGAACAAATTGCACAGGGATGTTGAGACTTAGATGGAAACCGAACCTTTTCTTACAGACACTTACCAGCAAAGTCTTCAATTTGAGAGCTAATAAGCCTAAACTTCAACGTTTATCTTGATAAAAATCAAACTCACTCCCTTTACCATATTCAACCTTTTCTTGGAGTTCGTGACTGCCAGGAACGAGAAATTCCTTGCTTGCAGACCGCATGGAGAGACCCAGATTACTATAAAATATTGGGCTGAGAATGGAAGTGGATCACATGCTTGCGTGTGCCTTCTCATTTTTCATGGTACCCCATAATCAATGTTATTTAGGCCCTAGATCCTGGTTATTTACAGAAATTTTCCTGCAAATGATTCTTAGATCTGGCTGTCTGTTGCAACTCCACTCCCGATAATCTTGACTTTCTCGATTGTGATCAATTTCCTGTCTATCCCGTCTATACAAGATATGGCTTCCTCCTTATATCTCAATTTATAAGAATGATCCCACTATTCTAATCGGATTTTGTGGCTCTTTTTATATTGCTTACAGCATTTTTACATCAGTTAAAAAGCAACAGTAGTCACCCCAACCCTTGATTTTTATGGTTAAACCTGAGGAACGCTCTTCTTTGACAGTCAAGGTACTGCTAATATTTGCCTGATAATTAGATGCGTAATCCATTGATACGATCATCTTTTCCATGCTTTTCCATGGAGGTGGGCGGCTCAGGCCCCACCTGCTCCTGTGACAGCCATGAATCTTGGACTCGGTCCTGGGGACTGACCTTGAAATTTGTAGATTGGAGAATGCGTCGCCCTATAGCACATGCACATGCGTGGGGACTGACCTTGAAATTTGTAGATTGGTGTCTAGAATGCGTCGCCCTAAAGCACATGCACATGCAGAGTTGCCGAAGGATTATATTATGTTTCCTAAACTAGGGGACTGTCCTCCATGTTAATGACCAGAAAAGGGTAAAAAGATAGGATCCATAAATTAAATATTATTAAAACATAGGGTTCCATATATTAACAAATCAAGGTCATAAAAGCGGTGACGGAGATCTATCATGTCATTTTCATATCCTTGACAGCACTTGGTAGGTACAGATACTGATGTATTTAGCTACAGTTTGTGTGGGAAGATTTAAGGATGTAGGAAACTGATAATTGAATCACCAGAAAGTAAAGCTTGAGCATCTAACGTAGGTGAAGCCATCATATTTCACAAGATTCACTGCCTCACCCACCAGAGAAGAAGAAATTATTACCCATTATTCCCTATGCTTATTAAACCGAAGTGACCCGTCAAGCCGAAACATGATGATACCAGCAAATGGATTAATAAAAACAGCAGAACCAGTTCTAATAATTTGAATAAAGGAAACTAACTAACGGCATCATCCCTTCTTTACTGTCCAAATATATGGCTGCAGTGGTACTGACGACAAGTAAAAAGCTTTTAGCTAAAGAAGTTTAAATGTCACGGTCACGCTTGCATTCTGGAGGGAGATTTGGAAAGCGAACACGATCCGTGCAATAGTTGTAGATGGTGTATTTTTTGCGAACCCACCCGAGTTTCCTGTATTGAGCGGCATCAAGATCTCGGAACTCCTTCCGATCCCACCAACGCTTACCTTGTGTCTCACAGAACTTGGCATTTACAGACGCCTCACAACCGTCGATGTGGAAGCCCTTGTAGGAGGCTATGAAGGGAGCCTTGGCCCAGTCAGTCTTCTCTAAGCCACCCCTCGTCGCCCAGTCATCTGCATTCCAAAGGCTTGAGTATATCTTCATAGGTTGGTTGAATGGGAACTTCAATCCTAAATCTTTGCTGTTCTTGAACACTCTGATTGGCACGTCATCTACAAAGAATCTGCAGATAAAAGAGGGAAAAAAGAGATAAATAGGCGTGGTATCCCTTGGTAGGATCAGACCAGAGTTCTTACGAACAGATCAATAGAGGGCAGCACCAGCAAGAATGGAACTTACACGATCTGGTACGTGTTCCAAAGTACAGAGTAGGAGTGGTATCCCTTGGTAGGATCAAACCAAAGATAAATTCTCTGCTCTTTGTCTCCTCTCCCTCCAGTGTACACATTTGTTTGTAAGATGTAGGGCTGTCCTGTTCTGTTTCCCAAGAACTCAAAGTCTATCTCATCATGCTCATTGGTTTGAGAAGATAACTACACACAACACAAAAAATTCAAAACTTTCAAACAGAAATCCAATTACCTAAACAGGGAAAAGACAAGGAACAAGCTTCCTCTATTTCAGATTCACAAAATGACTTGGAAAGGGAAGCAGTACATACATAGAATGCAGTCACAGTTCCGGCAGAATCCCCTGCAACCATCTTTATGTGCATGCTAAAGTGACCAAACAGGTAAGAGCCTTTAGATTGAAATCCAGTCCCTTTTGTGTGTACATGCGCATATACACATGAGAGTTAATACAAAGAAGATAAATACTTAATAACAGAAAAAATGGGTGCAATCTACCATGAAAACAAAAATAAGAAATCACTTGCATTGGAGCACCTGTGAATTTGTCCAGTTTGAGCTGAATCTCAGAACCTCCATTGATGTATTTGATGTGATCGAAAGCCCAAGTAGGCATATAGTTGCGGCCGAACGGCACATCCACAACCTTGTTTGGTGAAGCACCCTTGGTTACGGTAGCTAAAAGCAGGAAATTCAAACATACAGTCCACAGAAAAGAAGCCATCGCTACTAGGGGAGACAAGATGCCTCAGTGCATGTTCCAACAGATTGGTTCCTGTTGCGCATATTTATAGTCAAGCCTTTAGACACCCCCGGGAGAGGTAAAGGGTAGTTTAATACTATTATAACTTTGGGAAAAAAAAATAATTCAAACAAACAATGTTGGTAGATATTTCGGCCTCCAACTGCGTGAGTGTTATCTTTTAACGTAGAAAATAGTTGAGCCTGCCCTGCTAATCTCATCGTTTGTCAGCAATGAAAGGAATTCAACGTGGTGAGGAATGGATAATTGATGAAAAGTGATTTTATATATATATAAATACTGGATTAAAAAAAAATACTGAAATGTAATTTTTTTATATTACAAGCTATGCCAAACATGCTTCAATAAAAACATGCTAGGTATAGTATTGGCTAAACCTAGCCACACCGGCAAGGCATATCCTGAGCATTATTAAATTCATTATACTTATAAATTTAAATATAATATTTGAATCTAATAATACCAAATTTATAAATTTTTATATAAAATTTTAGATGAATAATTTCTTATAAAATATATTTAATTAAATAAGTTCACATTCCACTATATCATTAAGTGTATTAAAGTCTATCATGATCTATAATATTTTTATTTTTTTATAAATAAAATAAATGGAATACAATTAATGATATAACTTAAAATATTATAAAAATAAAATTACACTTTAGTCTTTTCTATTTATTAAAAAAAACTTATAAATTATAAATATTTCATAAATCATTTAAAACAAAGATTCATAATTTTTATTTTTTTATTTTTATTTTTTAATGTATATATATTTTCAGAATATTTCTCTAAAAAATAATTATTTAAACATCTAAAAATACTCAAATCTTTTAAATTAAATATTTTACATGTATTAACCAAACATCAAGTACAAGTTATCCATTACATTAGCCAAAAAAAAATATTAAAAAATTTAATTAATTAATTATCCCACTCAAAATTACTTTGATTCCTTGAGACATCCAAGTTACTTCACCTCATCAATTTTCACAACAACATTTCCGGTTACCATAAAATTGGAGGAAAAGCAGTTGAAGCAAGTACGCGTAAATTTTGGACAACGAAGTTAATGAATTCACATTAATAGGATCTGATGGGGAACGAAAGCCCAATTCTGTCCATGGATGAAGATGCCATGGCCACACGTGGTGGTGTAGCTGAAAGCTCTATCTTTTGTTTGCAGAGAGAGGTCCATGGATAGTTGGGCGCGTATACAAGTAGCAGCCACCAGAACAGCCAGGCCGGTGGTTGCCTTGCCTTGCCTTCCACTCTCTGGTCCCCTGAATTCGGTTGGCCTTCTCATGTGGGCGAGACAAGTTTTCCACGTCGCCTACGACTTCTTTTTTGCCCTTTTTAGAAATATTTGTTTAGAGGGACAAGTTTCTCATTGATAACAAACAAGAAGTTTTTTAATAAAAAGTAGAGGGACTAAAGTGGAAGTCTAGATTCTTTACAGAGCAGGCGGGCAAGATAAAAGACCAGTTCCATTACTCTCTTACAAGTCTGCAACCTGTTATCCTTTAATCTTAACATAAACTAATGTGGTCGGAATGCTCAATCAATCCACCGAAAGAGGAAATCAAGGAATAAATAATTAATGATAGTAGATGGATCAGAGCACGTGAGCTGGTTGTGTGAATTGCTTTGATCGATGAGATAACACTGAAGGGACACACACTGACACGCATTTAATACATATACAAGTGCTTCTTCTGGAGTTTAAATATATTGTTTTTAAATTATTATTTTATTAAATATATTAAAATAAATTTTATTTATTTTAACACCAACATCTGAATAATCTAAAAATACAACAAAAAAAAAAACAGTTAAACCACGATGCCAAACAACACCCACACAACACCAAAGAGGCACCAGGCTGTTAATTAGTGAATAATTTACATCTATTATGGCTAATCTGGGGCACATCACCACCAGCTGGTTTTTCTGTTCCTTCCGGGAGATGGATACCAGCAAAACATTGAAGCAACCAAATGCTAATCAATGTTGTTAATGGGAGCTTATGGAATTTAAGAATGGATTCCAATTAATCTCTCTATAATAAATAAATAATCTCATAGGAGGACTAAGAAGAACGTGTTTTGCCTAGGATCTGACTTCTGTGCTTGCTTACCACTCGCTAAACTGATCATCTCTGCAAATAGAAGCTGGATTCCAGCGATCCGCATGGTTTGGTATATCTTAAATGCTAGAAACAAGACGCAATTCCCAAGTCCCAAAACAGATACAGCCTGAGCAATATAAGTGGATCTTGCACCAAAGCAAATTAAAAATAAATAAAACTTCCCTTCCTCATCTTGCTATCCATTCTAGCTCTTAATTCTTTGATTTCTGCTTGTTCTGGGTTTGTTTCCCATAACCCCTCATTAGAATTTAGATATATTGCTATTTATTTTATAACATCCAGTGATCCACTACAAATTAACAAGAGTATGTAAATAATATTCCTGTGAAAAAAGGCAAGCAAACATAATTGATAACTCAAACCAGAACTTCTATTTGAGACAAGCGGAGAAGATAAGGAATGGAAAAGGACATTACAACGAGGCGGTAATAATAATATATTAGCCCTATCCCAATGCATCAATAGTTAGAAAATGTCATAGTATGTCCTCTTAAAACCCAAAACAAAATCAATAACTTTACAAGAGATAAACAATTTATTTCCTATAAGAAAGATATGAAATAATGAAGATGTAACACAACATGTAGCAAAACTATGTGCAGTAGAAAAATCTTTGTAAATGATCCCAATTGCTATACCAAAATCAACAGTCGCGGCATCATCTAGAACAACCAGTGTTTCTTCTTTGGCTTCTGTGGAACAGGAGCATCTGAAATTGGAACCAGGCATCTTAGTGCAAAATCACCTTGGTCCTTTTCATTTAAGACCACAAAACCATTAGAATATCAAACCTAAAAGAATTCAGTTCTAATTTATAAACTAACCTCGGATTTCATACAATGAGTTGTAGTGTACCTCGGACCAAAAACTCAACCACAACTCTGCATCATTAAGAAATAAAAGTAAACAAGGATGGTAAAAGCACCAAGTTCATTAAGGCATTTATAACATCTTTCATAAGAAAAATAAGTATGTTTAAAGACAAATGCTTTCCCAAATTCAAAATTTACAGCTATATTTGCTACTTCGTATCCAACAACATAGATAAATTAGCCAGAAGTGCATATTGGAATCACATACACGGGCTAAGGTCCTGTAATTTTTTTTTCCTTTTTTACATTCAAATACACGGGCTACTGCATTTATTTTTTAGAGCTGATAGGCTTTTATTGCCTGCTCTTGAGTTGCAGGAAGCAAAAAATTTATTAAATCCTGCAGAAGTCAGTTGGATTGAATCATAAAGGTTTTAACTTGAATACAAACTCAATTCTCAAAAATTCCCACTTTCAGAGAGAATTAATTCTCTGTTAAAGTAATGCCAGTGGAATGTTCAACAATATCAGAGGTTCAGCCTACAGAGGCAGTTCTTACCTCGTTTTGGTGGCTGGTATTGCGGCATAATTTCAATGAAACAGGTATCTCTAAAAGATGTCAAAAGGCATATCTTAGCAGCAAACTGCATATAAAAAACCAGAAATATAATAAAAAGCGGTGCTGAATTATGCCAAATGGTACAACTTTAGCAGCATATCATAAAGTGAAGCTCACAGGGAAATTGGGGCTTTAACTTGACAAAATTTCAGAAGACATTTGCACCATTCTTAAGCATTGGAGTGCATGAGTTTATTAAAATAAATAGTTACCAATCCATTCCATCAAAATAACATTTTCTTCTTCCTTGTTCCAGGCTCAAAGAACTGCAGTACGACAATTTCTACTGTTCCACCAGATATTTAACCAAATGTTTCCCTTGGACATCCAATGGCTAATTTCTCCAGGTGCATATTTCATGATCCATTACTAATTTCTAATTACATTGCATTTAGTGTAAGACTGTGATCCCATGCTACATAAAACAACAAAACAAGATATTTGTTTCAGATTTGACCATGGAAGCCCAAAAACAATCTCAACATCAACATCTTGTATAAAATCAATCCTGTGGTGAAACAAGCACAAAGTCAATCCTAGACAGCACAAGAGAATCAAAGTGAGGGAGAAGTCTCTATGCTATTATTATTAATTAAGCTGTCATAAAACACACAAATCTTAAATCCTGCCCCCGTATTTCAAGTGCAGTTTTGATAAGTGGATAACGATTTAAATTACATTAAATTAGAAGGGAGGCAATGCTATTATTTGCAGAATTGCCTCCGCTATATTGTCATTATTCCATCAACCCTTTACCCAATAATAGATAACCATATGATTACTAAAGTACTTAATGAATGAGAATCTGAGTAACTGTATTCCAGAAGCCACAAAATTGTTGCAATTAAAGGGTAGCTTATCAACCTTCAGTCCAATCAACTATGTTTACCTCTTGATATAGGTAAATCAAGGAGAAAGAAAAGCAGCAACTCCAAAGGAGAAAATGTAACTGAGACCAACATGATTGAATATAGTCTCCACTTTTCGCATCACAATAATTTCAAGTAAAGAATGCTAAAACAATGGTCCAGTCCTCTAACACCCTAATGAAGCACCATAATTACGAAATTAGTGCACTAAGGGAACTCATAACAGTTTGAAAAAAAGATACGAGACCTTATCAGCAGCTGCTTGTAAGGTAACATGGTCCCCCCATTCACCAGACCTGCATTAGGCAGTTAATTAAAAGAAGAAAACTGAAATCACTAACAATAAAACTAAAACACAAAGTACATGCAACCACAAAGTACAGGTCAATTGCAACAAAAAGTAAATGATTCTTAAGTAAGCAACATACTTTGCCATTTTCTTGCGATAACGTTTGTACTTCATCGGGACATGGCCTTCGTATAACGAGCGGTATTCTTTCAGCTAAAACAGGAAAATGAACCAAAAGAAAAGGTAAAATAGCATTAGTGTTCACTGTTGAGTCTT